AAGTCTGACTTGAGAGCTCACCCAAAGTTTTCTTTCGTCTAACTGGACACCACCTTCTCAACAAGTAATAACCTGCAGAGGAAAAGGCCCTATTCAGCTCATATTTGACTAGTGCAGAAGTCTCCTGGATTTCTCTGAAGTAGAAGCAAGGGTCAAACAACTAAAGAATGGAACAATGAGGTTAGGGTGTGGTGGTCACGCCCTCTATTTTGTTTTTTTGGTTATTGGTTTTTATTTTATTTTATTTTATTTTATGACAACTCAAAAGTGTAATTGAATGCAATTTCATTTGGAATTCTGAGTACTTTAAAATATCCTACTGGGAATTTTAAGCTTAACCTATCTTATTTTGAGACAACAGCCAAACTCACACCCAATTGCTTGCTCACTCACTCCTCAGCAGAATATAAGAAGACAGGAAGAGCAGGAATGAGAAAGATTAAGTGGAAATAAAGATAGGGACATTGACTGTGTGTAGAGCAGGAGAGACTTGGGAAATATTACCCTGATTTATTGCCAATTAAAATAAAAATAATTACTAATTCAAGTAATGGGAAGAGAAAAGAAAGATCAAGCTAGCACCTTTTCTATTTGGCTTCCATGCTAAACTTCACTCCAGACTCCTCTACCCACCCCCACCCTCCTGAGCAGTGTAGGTGGGATGGGAATATGGGGTTATAGTCCATAACAAATCTACTTTGTTTCTCCTCCCTCCTCACACGTCTTCTCAGCTGTAGTGTGGGCTTCTCCACAAGCAGCAATCCTGTCAAGAAAATCTGCTCTAGCACGTAGGTTCTCCACAGGTGGCAGTTCCTTCAGGAACATCCATCTGTTCTCGTGTGCTCTGTGGGCTGCAGGGAAGATCTGTTCTGCCATAGAGAGCCTCTTCCTTTCTCTTACCCTCATCTTCCCTCTTTGTTTCTTACTCCTTTTTTTTCCCCTCACTCCTTCTCCCTGTGGCTATTTTTGCCCCTTTTAAAAATAAGTTTTTTGTTCAGCAGATTGGTTCAGCTGTGTCCTACCAAGGATCCCTTGCAGAGCTGCAGAACTGGCTGTGTCCAGCACAGGGAAGACCCTCTCCTCATCCCACAAAGGGTACCTGTTGCAGCCATCACTACCAAATCCTTTCAACTGCATCCTACACACCTAATATTACCTAGAGTGGAGTTTACATGAAATCTCTTGTTTCAGTGCTGCTTTACTCGTGTACTGAGTGATTTATGATTGAGTTTGTCCTCTAGTGGAATAGTTTGGATAGTGCTCTGGTAATTTACCTATTGCCCATGCTTGAGTTAGTTCAGCCATTGAAACTGAATTCTGAGGGAAGAAGTCTAGAAAATTCTGGTCTGTGAATCCAATAGTTTCAACCCCTTTTGTCTTTTTTTTGTTTTTGGTTTTTTTTTTTTTTGTTTTGTTTTGTTTTTTTGAAATATTATAGTTGCATCTAAATTGTTCTAGTATGGAAATACCTAAAATGTTATCAGCCTGGGCGTTAGCAGTATCTACAGTATAAGCTACTGCATTGTGGTTTTGTTCTGCTGGTTGTATCATATACTCAGATTGATTCCATCAGCCTTATCAGAGTTACAGGAGATTTACACTGTTCTAACAAAACTAAAGACATGATCACATGTCTTCTGTTACTGTGAGCGCTGTTGTAACTGCTTCAAAACAACAATCTGATTTAAATAAGAACAGCACTGCAGTCATTTATGGGTCTGCTAGGGAGAACAAGCCCTGCTTTTTTCCTGGCTGGACTGGGTGGGGAATAGCAATTGTATCACAGTATTGCACAAGTGAGAACAACAAACCAACACATGGCACTGAAGCTGACAGCAGTTTGTGTACATTTAAAAAAAATAACCCCAGCAAATGGAAGGAACACAAATAAGAATATTATGGTTATCATGTATGGTTAAGTGATAGAGAAATAAGCAATCTGTTTAAGATACAAAAGCGCGGGCAGGTTTAGTAGGCTGTTGAACTGAGCTGTAATCAGAGGTGCTTCTGGTACTTTGGTATGTAAGGGGATTAAGTGTATCTCCTCTGCAGTATTAGTCACACTTTGTATCCGAACAGAAGCACCATGTGTCTGAGGTAAGTTTTAGTTTTCATCCTTTTCATCCTACTGCTTTGTATTTCTAAACTACGGTGTTTCAGACATTAACTTAAAATAAAATCTAGCAGGTAATATTTGTGGTCAGTAATTTTTCACAGCTTATCAAGGCAACTTACATTATTTTTCAAGGGAAGTACATATATGGAGCATAAGACAGAATTTGATGATTTAATTTTTGCTTCTGGCTGGACAAATGTTTATTTTCCTTTGACTTTGAAGACTAACAAACTTCTTTAGCTGTCTAGATAGTTCTTTTGGCTTATAGTATTTTGGAATTATTAATACTTTTATTTGGATTTAAGCATAGAATTTGTCAAAATAATTCTTTTACAAAAAGGTTTATCAAACCCTTCATATAGCTTAGCTATTCTTTTTTTGCTAGAGATAGTACATCTGTTTTTTTCATGTTGTTGGTACTAAAAGTAAATGCTGTTCTGTTGTAAATGACTAAATGTGAGTAAAATTTTTAAGTTAAATTGAGAGTTAGACCATAATAATTTTTCAGTTTTTAGTCTTATGTTTTTCTTAATTTCACTTAAATTTAACTAATTTCAATGCAACTGTGAATGTTGGGCATCTGTGGGAATTCAGGAAAATCTCAAGCTGCTTCTCAATTGTAACCAACGTTGTGGCAGTACAGAAAAATAATCTGTCAACTATTTTAGAGGGGAAATATTTTTTAAATGGATATTTACTCTTTTCCTTTGCATTTAAGGAGGAGCATTTTAAATTTTTTTTTTTTTTTTTTTGTATTTTAAAATAATTACCAAAATAGCTGCATTTATCTCTTAATGATCCTGGGTGTACTATATGGTTGGTGTAAGAGCTCCCTCTATAGATTTTATTTTAAATCTCAGCTTACGAAAATAAGGGAAGGAAATTCCACTTCTTAGCATAATAATAAACATATTCAGTTGATCAACATTACATGATTTTTAAACAGCAGGATTTTGTGGAAAGAAAACCATCTATTTTACCAATGGTTAAAGTAAGAGGATGTAATAGATTTATTACAGGTTTTCTAGACTTACTTTTGTCTTTATACATTTATACATTAAATTATATATACATTAAATTATACATTTAATAGAAGCTTGATAAACTGCATAACTTAAGCTGCTGTTTTATGTAGATTTTCACTTTTGTAACTACGTTTTATACCATCAACAATGAGTTGCTGATCTGTGTCTCATGGGCAGGTGCTCAGTGTTGCGTTAGCTCCCGTATATCCAGGTGCACATTAACTATTAAATAGCTCTGTTGCAAACACAATTTAACACAGCATTGTATAAGATCCTTTTATATGAGGCTTCTCTTGAATAACTTCAGTGGTCTTCATAAAAAAATGAGCTAGACTAACTGAACAGCTGACGTGGGGGATAATATTAGAAGTTTGCATGAACTTTCATTTGTATATAATTATTGATTTGGTATATAACTATTAAGTAATATTTAATAATAGTTAATAATTAATGTATCATACCTGGCATTCTGAAATTTATGTCTGTACTAGTCCCCAATTCAGCACTTCTCATGGCATGGCATTGTACACACAGAAATAGAAAAATTGATAATACTTTAAAAGGAAATGTTAAGCCCTGTGCACAAAATGAAGGGATTATAAAATAAATCTTTGTAGGCATTCAGATCAGAGTGTTCAGCTTTCAGAGATGAAAATGAGGCCTATATACATGCATAAAAGCAAATTGTTTGGTTGTAAACCAGTGGAATTGTTGTGGTCATTATTTCAACTAAACAGTAATTAAAATAGTTTTGAGACAATTAATGGGGGTACTGGGCTGGAAATTATTCTCATTGTATAAACTCTGTATAATATTTTTCTTGGGTATTGCTGCTGTTACTCCTAGGATGGGCAAGTTTATTACCATGTGTTTGGTGTAGCTCCTGTAGTAACAGACTACAGCAATGGTAATTTATGCTCCAGTAATTTCCTGCCTCTTTGATGATATCTACTTTGTAATGGATAGGCAGGTAGAACCAATCATTCTTTGTCTCTTCCAATTCCAGCATAATTTCTCTTCAATCTTTAGTGTGTTTTGGGTTGTTCTTTTCTTTTTTAGCCTATTTTTTTTCTTGTTCAATCACATTTGTGATTGTACTGCTTTCCACTTCTGTGATTTCAGCCTACAAAAGTGATACTTAATGTCTGATTTTACAACCAGGCATGAGAATTGGTTCCTAAGTCTGGGTAAATTATTTTCTTGGTAATAATTCCTAAGCAATTAAATGGAGGTGTAGGATTTCAATTTTTGTTTTCAAGATTGTTACTACTTTCCTGGAAAAAGTCTTGTGCATCCCATTCTCCTCACTTCAGTATCATATCACTACTAACTGAAATATGGGGGAAGACAAGTTCGGGCAGAATATATAGAACGAGTAGGCTAAAACTGGCTTATTTCTGATGAGAGCATCTTCAAAGTAGGGTTGATTGTGTTTGATACAGGATTTGTAATCTGATCAGGGGCTGTTCAAGTGGCCCAGTAATCTCCTGCATCTGTGTCAAAACCAAAGGTAACTGAAACTGGCTGGCAAAAGAAGGCTTCAGTCTCAGAGAAAATACTTATCCAAAGTATTTAAAGAGACGCTATCTCAGTCACTTATTTACCCATTTCCCAAAAACATGCAGAGGAGATAATGAGGACATGCAGTTTTACCAAAGACAACTCAACCAAGTTCAGCAATGTTAAGCCTAGAGTTTTATAGATTTAATAATTGTTTGTAAATACTGTTAAGTAGAAAAAGCATAATAGTTTGTGAAACAGATTCTGATGTGGTTGCTTACCACAGTAAGGAAGTGGATTTTATGACCCTCACATTCTCCTAGTCTCATTCCTAACTACATTTTTCTCTTTTATTTCAGCCCAGAAGATGGCGAAATCCATCCTGAAATCTGTAGACTATATATTCAGTTGCAATGTTGCTTAGAAATGTACACAACAGAAATGCTAAAGTCCATATGTCTGCTAGGATCCCTGCAGTTTCATCGGAAAGGTACTGAATTGCACAAATATGCAGATAATTGTTTTAGAAAAAGAACAATCTTTTGGGGCATGTCTGGGTATTCATGAAAGACAAAACACTGTCCTGGTTTTGGCTGGGATTGAGTTAATTTTCTTCATAGTAGTCATCATGGAGCAATGTTTTGGATTTGCACTGGAAGCAGCATTGATAATACAAGGATGTTTTAGTCATTGCTTAACCCTCACAAGATCAAGACTGTTTCTGCTCCTCCCCCCACCCCACCAGCGAGGGTGCTGAGGGGGCCCAAGTAGTTGTGAGAGGACAACTGACTCCAGCTGACCCAAGAGATATATCCCAGAACATACAGCATCATGCTCAGCATATAAAGAGGGGGAAGATGGAGGAAAGTGAGGATATCAAAGTGATGGCATTTGTCTTCCTAAGTCATGAGGTAGCCTTGTTTTCCTGGGGATGGCTGAACATCTGTCTACCCATTGGGAGTGGTGAATAAATTCCTTGTGTTGCTTTGTTTGCATGCATGGGTTTTTGCTTGATTTATTAAAGTGTCTGTACCTCAACCCAGGAGTTTTCTCACTTTCACCCTTTGAGTAGTCTCCCTCATCCCATCAGGGGCGAGCAAGTCATCAGCTCTGTGGGGCTTCATTGATGTCCGAGGTTAAATCACAACAAGCACCAAACTGTAAAATGAATTATATATATATCTGTAGATAGGTTTTCAGTTACTAAAAAGGAGCTCTATTTCTGTTTATCATCATTCTTACAGAAGCGTGTCTTATCAGTATGTATCACTAATGTATCACTTATCTTATGTATCACTAATGTCCTCGCCATTTAAAAGTCTGAGTCTTTTTTTAAAAAGGGTGGTTCCTTAAGTTTTAGCTGTCATTAGTCAGACGAGTGGGCAAACTTAGTAATGTTATTAGACATATGTCGGGCAAGATATGTTTTTAATAGTGTTGCTATTACTATTAGTTTTCTTATCTCACTGCTGCTTACCTCTTACTGCTGGTTATGAATTATTGGTCCCAGTAAATTGTTCTTATCTTAACCCATGATCTTCATCTTTTGTGCCTCCAATTCTCAACTCCACCCTGCCCCAACAGAAAGAGGAGGGGGAGAGAGAGAGAGAGTGGCCTGTGGTTTGGAAGAATGTCAGTGATAGCACTAAATTGGGGGGTATCATCCCTAAAACACTACCATAGCAAAAGGTAGATAAATACGGTTCAAAAGATGCCTACCCTTATAAAAGTAAATACTAGACTTGGAACAGAAAGATGTTCTCAGTTCAGTGAAAATGCAGCTCTCTAATTATTTCATACTTGATTAGGTACCTACTGAAAGGAAGATGTAGAAATGATGATAATTTACTGAATAGTTTACTTAGTAACCTCATTGCTCAGTGATGGTAAAGGCTGATTAGGGCTGTTGCAGTGATGATTGTAACTACTCTTTCCACAGACAGTATCTCATCAATAAAAAAATAGGTAAAGCAAGGAAAAGTTCTGTAATGAACTGTAATAAAGATCTTATAATGAACCTGTTGCATTTCCTGTCATGCTAAAAGGTTATTTTAGCATGTAGTGTACTTTTCATATCCACCTGTAGAATACTGCTAAAGCCAGGGATATTTTTGTTATGAAAGTAAGAATGGGAGATTTGTAAATGCTTAACTGTGGTTCTCAATTATATTCTCAAGTCAAAAAATAAGTCTATAAAATAGGAAGAGAGAGAATTATCAGAGCTATTGTAGAACAAGGTAATAGTAGCTGTCGAAATGAGTCACCATTTTTAAGACAGATTGTTCTGCATTTCCTAACATTTGCAACAGTTGTCAAACCATTTGCTGAACTGCTGAAAGTAAATAACTTAAAGTGACCTGAGTAACTCTGAAATGTCTTGTTTCCCCCTTTTGCTTCTGGATGGAATCTACATTAATAACTTAAACTAAACATCAAACTATTAGATGTCTAAAGTTGGATAAGAGGAGTTACACCTTAGTTCCTACCTTGCAGTACTTTGATAGGCTTTAGTTTCTCAACTCACCACAGAGAGAGTCATGGTAGTTATTCTGTCCTTACCAAACAGTGATTTTTGTCCTTGCCAAATGGAGTGTTTTAGAGATAAACACAGTAACTTGGCTCCTAGTTTCTGTGACATTCTTTGGAAAAAATACATAGTAGGCAAAAACTAAATTATGACAGTGATTCAAATAATTTGAATATCCAATAGACAATAGCTTTTTAATATTAAATATTTAGTATTGGCAACACCTAGAAGTATTGCAAGGGCATCATGCAATTATGGAAATTCCAGTCCTGTGTTAATTTTTTTTTCACTGTGAAGGTAGCTGCACACTAGACAGGCACCCAAAGGGGCTGTGAAATATCCATTCTTGGAGATACAGATAACTCAAATAGTCCTGAGCAGTCTGATGCAAGTTTGCCCTGCTTTCAGTGGGATGTTACACTGGACAACTTTGCAACTTATTATTCTATGTTCTGACAGAACATACTGTTTTCAAGGGAGCATTCTGAACCCATATTTTTTGTTGATTTCTTTACTTACAGAGAACGATACTTTAGTGTAGGTGAACTGCGTAAATTTATCTCTAGGAAGGAAAGAGACAATAACTTCACCATTATAAAATATATTGTGATGCTGCTGTATATAGGTGTCTTGGTTTGGAAAGACTGCTAAGGAAGGCAGGAGCCTTCACTGAAATGGAAAAATGTAGACCCCTTCTCTCCGAATTGTTATAAATTTGAAATTAAGGGGTGCTCTCATGCAAAAATATGGAAGCAGGAATAACAGTTCTTTATTAGGGAAGAAATAAAAAGATAAAACAAACAATGCAGTAAACCAAAACAACACTGACAGAGTAAGAATACACCCTGCCACTGTGCTGGACAGGGTGTTGGTAGCAGTCCAATTGGAATTGTGGCTACAGTCCTCCTGGAGTGTCAGGAGGTGTTCTGTCAGGTGTGGTTCTGTTGGAGCAGTGATCCTGTAGAAAAGGGTGCAGTCTTCCTCTGAAGAGGCAGTGGAAGAGGCAGCTGTTCCTCTGGGAAAATCCAATGCAGAAAAAGCTGTGCTGGTGGGCCAGAATCTCAAGACTACATGCAGGTAGGAATGCTTGGCTCCTCCCTCTGGGTGGAACATCTCACACAGGATGTTATAGTTCTTGTCAGTCAGGCAGTGACATCCAATGGTCCATTATCAGCAGATGTCTCCCAGAAGGGGAAGGGATAAGGAAAAACTGCCTACTTAACACCAGACAGCTGCTATACAGATGACAAAATAGAATACATCTTGCTTTTCAATCTGGGACAACAGTTTTTTTATTTCTCCACTTGTTTAGTTTTTCACAGGTATTTAATCATCTGAATGACCATATTAAAAAAAAGTTTCTTGAGTAGAAAGAGTACTGCCCTTATAACCTTTGCTTAACCCGTAAGTGTGTGTGTCTAGTGTTCTTGTTGTGTCTTGAAGCTCATTTCTGTGGGTAGTTATTTTCCATTTGGATGTAGTATTTCACTTCTCTAGCCCTCTTACTTCCATACAATTAGTATGTTAAATTTTTAAACCTTCCATGAGGTTTCACCAATTCATGTTCTTACTCAGGAGGCTGCAGAGATTCCAATAGAATGACATGCAGACTTTTCGCTGCCACCTGTGGCTTATAAAAAATAATGTGGGTATTGGTACCTTGATCAGAATTTATCAAACAAGCTATTGAACTGATAAAACTAAGGCAGTGGGCTGATGCTGATGTTCTTTTCCTAAGAGAAATTCAGCCATTAGGAAGAAGATGTCTTACTAGGAAAGATATTCCCTTAACGAAACACCACACAAAAATTTGAAGGTCTGAACTCTAGATCTTTTGACTGCCTTTCACAGCACATATCTTCTCATATCTCCTTACCTTTCTTTTCAGCTGAAAAAGTATTCCTTTATTTGCTGTATATGTATCAATCTTCCTGTACAGAAATTTCTTGCGTGGTTACAGTGTTTTAGAATAAATTACTGCTGTTATAGAACCACTACTAGAAAAACCAGATAGTCTGTTATTTCTTTGAGATGTAACTGCCACAGTGGGGCCAAAAACCATAATATTTGCAGCTGTGTTATGCAGTAAATAAACTGAGGTAAGTGCTCTTCAGTAATTTTTTTTTTATAAGATACATACACTACAAAAGTCCAGTGTTGAGAATATATAATGATTCAACAGTTCAGCATTCAGAAAGTTTGCAAAGGGCACAAGGAATCATGCCTAAGTATTTTTATCAAGTGTTTTGCAGTTACTAAGTCTTTGGCTACCTAAACATTTATTCTATTACTCTGCCTTTCCATAATCCCAGGAGTTCTGGCTGACTGGTGCACATATAAATACATATTTGAGCACACATCTTTCTTTTATCCTAATTGTTATTATCATACATTTTATTTATTGCACACCATAAAGAAAAAATAACAGTTATTGAGATTTGTGAGTCCCACCTGACACAGGTGAGGGCAGAAGGATACCAGCACTAACCAAAGTGATGGGTACCTGTGTAGTCATGCAAAAAAAAGCAAGAAGTGAGTCTTACAGGAAAATCAAGCATGCATACTACTTGTGTTTCATGTAAGAAATTAATATTGTTAATTATTGTATTTCCAGTGTGTGTTTTGTGATAACAATTCCTTAGAATAGTACCTAAAAGTAATAGCTTATGCTACAAACTACATCACATATAAATAAATAAATATATTTATTATATATAATAAACCCTTAGTTCAGTGGAGAGATTTTTTGCTTTTTGGCTTTGTTTAAATGACATGCTTTTTAGAGTTTTGAAGGGGAAAGCAAGGATTATTTAATGGTTGTGCTACAATCTCAGTGTTTTATTTAAAGACTGGTAGATATGCATTATTACTTACACATATCACTTATGCAAGAGGGATAAGATGTAAGAGTGTAGAAGAGCACACAGGTTTGGAGAAACAGAATCAAGAGACTCACCCATTCTTACGTGGACACTATGAAGAAGCAAAGGAATGGGACAAGAACAGCCATGGAAGCAGGGTAACAACTTTCACCACAAAATTGTTGTTCCTATTCCATTTTCTTTAATAATAGTACTTCCAGTGAGACAGTCTCCATCCAAGTTCTGCAGGTCCTGAGTGTAAATGAAAAATTAAATTCTTCAGGCCATTAGCCATATTTGTCAAATAACTTTTTTGCTTCCTGTACAATTCTTTCCTGTTCCCCTTTCTAGGTTTTCCTGCTCGTGTACTTTAGCTGTGATACATAGCTTGTGCATTTATCCTTAATTGCCAGGTTAGAAACCTGATGTAAACACTGCTGTCTTTTTGAGAGAGGGATTGTCTCAGCTTTGTTAGTCTGGTATCCACTCAAAGATGTCTAGTTCCTCTCCAGTGAAATATAACTAGCACTGAGGCACATTTTTTTTTCTTTTCTTTTTTTTCATTCATCACAGTTTCTGTACGAATTAGGTGATGTCTAAGAGTAGGTCTCTAGGGTTTCATGAAGAAAGCAGAGATCACTACAGAAACAATAAGGGGCACAAAAGGCGAGACACATAAAACCACATGATGTATGTAACCTTACTGAACTGACAATTTTCTGCCCTCTTATTTATTCTCACTCAAGTTTGATCCTCAGCATTATTTAACTAATTTGATTTTATTTCATATCAAAAGTATTTTATTCTTACAGTAAAACAAACAAGCAAACTGAATTACTGATGAGGAAAGAAAGAATGTATAATTGCAACTAAAATAATTAAAAATCTTTCCGCTGACTACATTGGAAGTAAAGTTAAGGGTTCATATACATTTTTTGAAGTATCTATGACAGAAGATATCCGTACCAGTGACTGTAAGGATGAAAATGTTTAGAAGTTTCTGTTTCCGTATAGGCTGTGACCATGGTAGAAATGTTAAGCCCAAGTCATACATTATTCTAGCAAAGCCTTTATTAGTAGCTGACTCTTCAACTGCTTTCAAGAGACTGAGCAAATAATCTGAAATTCAAGAAAGGCTTAATGAATTGTTCACAATACAACAGAATTACTGGTAAAGAGCTTTTTCTAGGTGAAAAGAGATCTGTGTTGTTCATTCTGGCAAATCTGCAAGAGCTTGTCTTTGTGCTGATGAAAAGAACATTACGGTTTCTGCTTCTGTTCTCAAGCTGAGAAAAAGAACCTTTACTATTATTTCATCTAGTGCTGTTACTGTTTCCATTGAAAAACCTTTCACATCCATGAAGGATGAATCTCTACAGCATGTCACCAAAGGTCAGGTCAGGGTTCCACCATAATGCTTAAAGATAATGGAAAAATCCACTAATACCCTGTTTCATGAGTAATGCTTTGTGATATCAGTGGCACATTAGATGGTTTACCTGAAACCTTTTTAGTGAAAAAGTAATGTGTGAGATATTGGTAACATTATGTTGTGTTACGGACTTCTTGTGATGGGAAAAAATAATGAAGCTTATATGACTGAACAATGAAAACTGTACCATATGAATCATCTTAAAATAACAGCATAAGCTGCAGTTAAGGACAAGAAAAATTCAGAAGTTAAACCTACAGGGTGATACAAAGTATAAAACATGTAATCTGTGAAGCAGGCTTAGTCTGCTATTCCACAAAAAATTGAGTAACCTTTCAGCATAACAGCTTGTAGCCAACAGAAAGGTTTTGGTCTCTTTCTCTCTGTCTCCCCTCCCTTATAACACCTTCACTTCTTCTTCATTTCCACTGCTTTTGGGAAAAGAGTAATATGATCCTCCTTCTCTGGAACTTGCTCCTGGACATGTAGGGTTTTTGACTGACCTTACTTAAACCACTTCATCAGAAAATATCACATTTTATTTTTCCTTTTGTTGGGGTAATCTGTCATTTCTGGCAGATTAATCTGTCAATCTGGCTGAAGTTGATCACAGAAGGATTTGACAAAGCACAAGTTAGCAGTGGATGCCAGTAAGCAGCAAAGGACACAGGAGATTCTTATAGAGGCTAAATTTGCTATGGTCATGTCATGCACTCTTTAGGATTCATTTAGGTAACTGTGGGCTTCCTAGTGGCTTTGATGAGCATTAAAACATAAACAAGTATCTTCTGTAGCATAGGCAACATCTAGTTTGAGATGGGTAGCTAAGAATAACTTTTTTTCTTTCTTTTTTTCAAGGAAATAATTTATCAGAATGCAGCTATTTAGATAACTTACCCAAAAATTATATCTTATGGTCCAGGAAATTCCAGATTTAAAAAAAACAAAGTTACCTGCCTGATAGCAGGGATATATATTTGTGACATGGAAGAGCAGTGTACCATGGTCTGCAGTTCTGGCCTCTAGTGTCCCAGAAAAATGGCCTGAATGACCTGTATTAGCTGGTCTTGTTCTTCATGTACTTTGTCAAAGCTTACAGGAACTACTAAGATTTGTACTGATGTCAAAACTTTTCCAATTGCAAAAATTGCTAAATGAAAAAACATGCCATATGCAACGTTTTTTATGGTTTAAATGGCAGTTGTCTGGGATGCACTTCAGTGTGAATTTTCTTCTGTATTTGGTGCCAGAATTGTACTTGCTACTACAAAAAGGAATGCTGTCAGGTAGTCCAAAGGCGATTTGCAGGTTTACCAAAATATTCTTCCAGTGTTAACTCTCTTGAATGCTCCATTATCATGATCCAATCCTTTATCCCATTCTCTTCCTCACAAAAGCCCTGGAATATCTGTCATGAAGCCCCCCCCCCCCTCCAATTTCAACACTATATTTAATTTTCATATAGAGGGCATGAATTAGGTGTCAACACAGAAATTCAGAATATAATGCATTTGGGCTGTGGGTGATGGCAGCTTTATATTGCTATTTAATCAAAAAGTACAACATTTCACGTTTGTCTTTGGTTTTCCCTCAATATTGCTATAGTACTCGGAGGCATGGATTGCAGTGTTCGTTAGTGTCAGAATTTTGAAGTTGTTTCCAGCATGTGCATTGTAGTTTCCTCACTTTGTTTTGTTTTGTCTTCTGGCTGTTATTTTGTGTTTCATGGGAGCCACTGGAGTTTAATTGAACCCTTTTAGATTGGTAAGAATAACATGGCAGCACTCTGATTTCTAGCTTGGCATGGTGTGCTCTGCTTTTGAACAGTTCTTACTCAGAGTTTGCATCTAAGCAGTCTTTTTCTCCATTTGTATTGTGCAAAGTCAAGTTCAAAGCATCGATTAGATAATTTGAGTATCTGTATTAATCAATAAATAACAGGCATACATGTTTTGTTTAAATATTTTAAAGGAAAAGAACCTTGTGGCCCACCCAAGATCTTAGATACTAAAGTGGAGGAGAGTTCTGAAGTACCTATTTTAGAAGACACATCGTTATCACCTACAGATATTCAACAGCATCTATGGCAGGTTTCCACAGATATTGATAACACTGAAAGGTATGTGTAGTACTTCATTCCTAAACAAATAAATTTCTTTCTAGGATTTATTTAGTCTTTTTTAATTTGACAGTGTTGCTACTATGAAAATTATAAGTAAATTAAATAACCTGTTAACTTCTCTGGTACATTTAACAGAGTTTCTGATTTTGTGAAATACACCTGAAATATGCCAGACTCCAATTATGCATATCAAAATCAAAACCACAGAATTTCAGTTAGTTCAGCACAGAGTTTTAAATTTGGAAGTTTTAGAAGAGGAGGGGAATGTCGTAGCGGTATTATCTTACTCTTTCAACTATGCAATTGAAAGACAAAAGACCCTTTACTTGAGAGTAATCCTGAATAAAAAAATGTTGATTGCAAAATGCAATCAACATTTTTTTGCAAAAGATCCTATTTTGAGGCTTTGTATACTAAGTTGCAGCTGAGATTTGAATTGTTATCATGCTGATTTGCATAAAGCCAAGTTCTGTTCTACTGGGCCATAATGTGGAGACTAACAATTTTTTATAATCATGCTGCTGCATTTCTGAGAACCATTTTATGTGTAGATTAATGAAGCAAGACAGTATTGGATTTAAATCCTGAAAGCATTAAGACATTACAAGCCTGTAGATCTGCCATCTATGTGCAAAACAGAAACTATCTGGAAATTTCTGGCCTCTTTCAAAACATATCAAAATGTGATTTGCTTTTGGAGATGATGTGTTGTTATCATATTTTCCATCATCTGCCTTTCAGAAAATTTAAATGCCAGAGTCCTCTGAAGGTGGGTAAGAATGATAGCCCTGTTCCTAAAATTTTCATTTAATGCACAGTGTTAAGTATCAAGGGTTAATTGCATATGTTATAATTTTCTTCTGAACAGTGAAACACATTCATGGCACAAGCTACAAAATGCTGATAAGGGGTATGAAGATAACATTAGTATTAGCTAATATTAGTTTTAAGACATGTTGTGTATTTTGCCACTAGGATCACATTGTGCCCTCAAGAGGCTTTTATGAGAAATACTCAAGTTCCAGAATAGGTCATAAATTTGAACCAGGAAAAGTTAGTATGACTTTCATAAAAGTGCTCCCCTATTAGTTTTATTGCTCTTTCTATTGGTATGTATCTTCTGATACATGTATGTAAACGAAATGCTTGCTCAATAGATTTTTGTATTTATTGCTCCATTGTTTTTGCATATAATGCTATACTGTGAGTCACACCCCATACAGTCTTCAACCTGTTGTTCCATTGTATGTTTTTTAACTGTTGTATCCACAGAGATATGAGAGAAATGAAAAACCTTTTAAGTAAACTCAGGGAGACTATGCCTTTACCACTGAAAAATCAAGGTACGTTTTGAATTTTCTTTATTTAATAAAAGATAAGATAATTGAGGGGTTTTCCTTCCTTTATATACAAAAAAATCTAGGGTCCTTTAATGGAAACTACAAAAATAAAAATCTAGGCAAAATCTCTTCCCTGCTGACTCAGTGGAGCCAGAATCTAGTATGTGATCTTTGGCCTCTTGAGTTTCACATGAGGTATTCTGGAATTCGTAGATACAGTATCTATAGATAAAACAATAGACTTTTCCTGGTGATATAAAGGCAGAAGCAGAACTACTTCCCAGTATCTGGAGCCCTTCTTTCTCAAAGGCAATGAAGGTGTAAATTGCACAGACTATGACAGGGATCCTTCTGAGTGATGCGATTTGCTTCACCTCTACAAGGCTTGTAGCTTGTAGCTTGTAGCTTCTGTGACCTGACATTGACTCTGGGCTACATGCCCAGAAAAGCTACATGCCTTGAGTCTGCCACCAGGCTGCTTTTCCCATAGACAGCTATCAGGCCCCCCATAGAAACGCACAGGTGGGCAGGATCTTCATTCTATGCATGTATTTGGCAATGGGCCTTCATTTTGTTGGCATGTTAAATACTCCACATCTACAGGCACTCTCTTTGTTTGTGAGAACAGCATTAAAAAGGTAATAATTTTTCTTTTTGATTTCTTCTTGATAATGGGTGTTCCAGAAATGTGGTGCAGTCTTTGCACAGTGGCAATTGATGAAATGTACTGAATGTGTCCTAGATCTTATCCCAAGTAACTAAGCAGCCTAGCATTCATCATAATACACTAAGAGATGAATATAGAATGACTGTATTCATTATACAAGTAAGATTTCATGGCAGGATAGCTTGATTGAAAACTATGTTGAAACACGAAGGGGAATCACATGTGATACAGACATACCATTGTAAAGACTGGAAAAGAGATGAAAGATCTAGGCTTAGTCTAGAACAAAAGAGTGTGCTGAAAATAAGGAAGGGAAAGACAAATTGGAGGGATATAATGCATAAAGAAACTTGAATTCAGAACAGAGATAAAGGTGTACAGAATTCTTCTTTGTTGCCTGGTATCTACACTGCCCTTCAACAATGACCAGAAAATCACTGTACCCCTGTACAGCAGGACTGGAAGCATCCCAGGGTTTTAAAACTTGGGAGCTATGACCCAGGATCAGGTAATCATAATTATTATGGAGATCCTGTTAATTAGCATTGTAAGGTTCTCAAATGCAAAATTCAGATTATTATTTTTTTCTCTGCTCTATGGGATCTACCACATCACAGAAAGGGTTGTCAAGCATTGGAATGAATGCCCAGAGAGGTGGTGGAAGTGTTCAGGAAAAGACTGGACTTGGCACTTAGTGCCGTTTTCTGGTCAAAGTGGTGCCGATCAGTTATAGGTTGGATTCAATCCTAGACTCATAAATGATTCTGTGATCATGTAGGTGCTGCTAGGACACATAAAGGATTAAATCTCTTTTCTGTGCCTATGTGTACACACTTGTGTTAAAATGTGGGGTTTTTCATCACAGATGATAGCAGCCTCCTGAACTTGACTCCATATCCACTGGTAAGAAGACGGAAGAGAAGATTCTTTGGATTGTGTTGTCTTGTCTCAAGTTAGAAGTTTAAGCACAGAAGCACCAAGGAAAACATGACTTTGATTAAACCACTATTATTTGACCACTAAAAAGATGAAAATGGCTAATCTTGATTATAAGGCATATTTTCTACACTAGACTATTCATTTTTGTTTTCTGCTCCATCCTCCTTTTCAAATAAGGGTTTTAATACTTTCAAATTATGGTGGTCAAAAATGGCTGTGGAATAGATCTAGAATATTTAAAACTTTTTAAAGTATGTTTTGCATGCTTACTTTCAATCACTAAAAGAAGACACATGAATTATGATTCATATATAATTTTAACCGGTTTTTTTAATTGTTTGAGCTGCAGCTAAAAGTTTGTGTGTAGTACAGTACTCTTACTAGTATCATATTAAAATCATACTCTTAACAGTCTTTAAGCATAGGAGAAGAACATTTGATCATTCTCTCAGTCTTTAAGAATAGGAAACTATTTAAGAGCAAAACTATTAAAGTTCTAAGACATTCAAACAATATTGTAACAGAAGTTGTACAAAATCTCCAGTTGCTTTTTGTGCTCTCATTATATTTAGTCTTCCACTGTATCTCAACTTCAAAGCTTTATAGAAAAATATCTTAATTTATAATTAAAAACCATATGTGAAAATAGGTAGGACTTGTAAATAGAGAGAAATAAAAATATCTATAAACTGGACAATGATTAGAAGCAACAAATTTCCTTTTAAGCCAATAATATATCCACAAGCTTTTGGAAAAAATAAATAATTTATTAAAATAAGGTGTATTAAAATCAACAATGTAAAACACAATGCAAACCCATTTTGTTGCCAGTATAATTCAAAGCATGGTGTCTGCATATCAAGTATTGATCTTATAAGGCATGCCAAAATTATCTCAGACTGTATGATACTAAACGTTTTACATTGTTAATAAAGTTTTTTTATTTAAATTAAATGTTGTCTTGTTTCTAGTTGTATTCCATATGTATTTTTTCTAATTTTGTTGCCAGAGTACTACACAAATTTGTGACAATATTTCCATTTCAACAAGTATATTTACAAAGACAGATTTAAAAAATATGCATGACTAAATTCTTTAAATAGCACAAAAAAAGGTAACTTCAACATATTTGAAGATTTCAGGTCATGAACTATTCTTAGGCATATATATCCTGAAGCATCTGAAATGGGGAGATCTCTAAAAAACTGTGTGCTTGTGAGAGCAAACAACATTTTTAAGAAGAATGGAATCAAAGTCCATAGCACAGTGTTTTTTCTGAGTTAATTATTTAAAGCTTTCTGCACATTTCTCATTAACCTTGTGCTCACAAATCAGAGCTGTTGTCCGTAATGTTCACCACTGACATGTTTTCATTAGAGGTCTCAAAGCAGTAGATTCACTCTATGATTCCATCCCCACAGATACACTAGATTTTGGAACTGTTAAAACTTTGTAAAAACAACTCCTGGTGCCTAATAGCTATTAAAAATACTGTCTGCAAAATTTATCAGTAGTTACAATTAACCAATTAATTTTTTGTTCAGCATAAGTGAAAAAGAAAGACATTAATGCCAAAAAAAGAGTATGAATTCAAGACTGAATGTACAGTGATGCCATGAGAAAGAAAGGGGGAAAGAAAATTTCACACAAGATTTCTTTGAAAGTCCTGTTTTTTTGGTACACACAGAGAATCAGATGGGCAGATAAAGCACTGACCTTGTCTAATTCATTCCTGCCCACATATCATCATATGCCAAGTTACATGACAGCTCGTATCTCTGTGTTTTAACCACAGCTATTACAATGGAATATATATTAGTAAGGTAAATGTATAAACATCTTAATATTACAAAGCTTTTGACATGAGTCATATCACAAGGAGTTCCCTAACTTCAGCACATTCTGTGATAGACTTGAACTTGTTGTCTTCAAAGCCCTTTGAGATTGCTATATATTGAAGTGTACACAAACTGCATCCTTTTACCTTTTGTTATTCTGGAAACTTCAGAAGTTTCTTCTTTCTCAGCTAAAGCCTGGTAAAATCACAGTCTTTGTTCATTTTGAAGTCTTTCTGTAATTCTAAGCAACGTAGCATCTTACCTGAAGCCTTTTGTATTATCCTGCGATCCTAATTGGAGACATGCTGTAATTCCCAAGCTTTATGGCCACTTAAGGAATATTGGTGCTCAAGGGTGAATGGAAGTTCTCTTAACAGATAGTGACATGAACCTGGTAAATACCTGAGCTGCAGAGGTGTCAAGGGATAAAAATTGGTCTACCTAGGAATGCAGTGGATTATCTTTTACTACTTGAAAAGGAAACAAGAAAACTTTTTAAGCCCCAGAACATGGTGTTGGTAAAAGGAAGATAAAAGTTAATGATATTACTACATTTTAGTTTAATGGAATACAGCAATGTAGGATCAAAGTTTAAAAATTCCTTCAATGAAATCATATACAAATTATTTAGAGATTATTATAACTATTATTTACTTTCTAAGTACTTTGAAATACTTCACAATAAACTCCCAAATGCATGCAAACAAGCAATTCAGGGAGAATACTGAGGAAAGCAGCTCTTGCTTTCTAAGTCCTTCTTGGAGTTTGAACATTTTAGCTTAAAATGTTACGAGTTATTCTTTTGCATCACCCATTCTTTTGCTCACCATCATTCTTTTGCAGGGTAGGAAGCAAGTAAAAGTTCCTCTTCCCACAAATATGTCATGTTTCACCAACCCTTTTTTTTTACTAAAACTTTGTGCAGTTCCAGCTTTTCAAAACCAGATTCTTTATATTCCACTGGTATCTCCCATTTTTCACAGATATTTAATATGAAAAAAATACTTAAGGTGTCATAAAAGACTAATCCAAGAAATCAAATATCTGTGTACACTGTAAAGTCTCAATTTTTCAGAGCAGAATCAAAATAGGAGCTTACAGCAGTGGATAGCACACATGCAGCAGGTTGCATGTTAACTTACCCAAAATGAGAACTTACCATGCAAAATCTGCATGTTAATTTACATAATAGGTTCAATACAACTCAGAAAATCTGGGTCAGAGAATGGTAAAAATACAGTAACTAACCTTTATCCCAACTGAGGAATAAATATATAGTGGTGCATTAAATGCCTATTGGACTTATGTCCATGTTAATGGTGAAATTCCTTATTACCTCTGTAAGAGATATCCTACCTCTTGTCCAGCTTCATGGCCAAGAGGTAAGAGAAGCTGAAGTAACATCTATTTCTGCTTATACTTAGTCATAAGTTACTCCAGTCAAGTAAGTGTAAGTCCAGACTTATAGCATTATTTTGGGAAGTTTGTGGTCCTGTTTAAGTTCTAGAACCTTGAAGGCACTGACTGACATTCAGGAAAATTTACCCTTTACCAGCACAACCTTTTTTGCTTCAAAAAGAACTGAGCTAGGCTAAATACAGGTGGGCAGGACATATTTTCTAGGGATCATGGTGTGGCAAAAGTTTTAACAGTGACTTTTTAATTGTTCTACAGCTGAATAATTCATCTCAAATCCAAATTTTTTTCCCTGAGATTCTCTTCTCTTGTAGCAGTTTTGCAAAAATAGCCCCAGCCATGTTTGAAGAGGTACACCTTTATTCTTTAATTGATGGTTGTACCCTCTAATGTGGTGTTTTCAATTTAGGCTATTCCCAGCATATGCATAATCTGCTATCCAGATCTAGCCTCATGTTGCCAGTTTTAGATATTTTCCAGCCTGAACTCACTTGGCTTTGAACTACCAGTCTCCATCTCATTAGCACTTTGAGCCTTTACCTTACTTTGTGTCATCTGTAAAATTTCTTGGAGTGGTTATTTCTCTCACTTCCATTTTTTCAAAATGTGGTATGTACCAATAGTAATGGGAATTCTGGTGTCCAAGAGAGCACTTGTTTCTATTCGTCCAGTCTGTTGCCGTCTAATGTAAGCATATCTTCATTTGAGCCATTATATGTACTCAGGTCTCTCTAACACAAGTTATTTCTAGCTCATCTGGGACTGCAGTTCTTTGATGAAAACAAAGTTTCTGCCCATTTTCAGCCTAAATATACTCCTGGATAATTAATAACATATACAATGTGTTTCTTACAGGTCCGCTTTATTCTTTGTTAAAATTCTCTGATGGTCAAAATTCTGCCAGGATATTTTATAAACTATTATACTAAATTAAAGCCTCAGGAAAATATACAGTACAGACAAATAAGAATTATCCGTCCTTCACAGTACACTTTCTCAGTGGGACAAATATTTAGCTTACACAGAAAACTAAACCACATCTTGAATACATCTTGCTGAAGTTTAAATGAACTCTACTAAACAGCCTTTTTCAGAGTTTCCTCCTTTATTGCTATTATTTAAACTCTAACATTGCTTTTCTAGATAAACCTGTTCTGGTCTTCTTTCTCAAATAATTTTTCCTTTTGGTTTTTTTTTTTTTCCCTAATCTCTTTGATTTCTTTATTCTTTTACCTTCATTGTTTTCTGCTACCACCACCTCATTTAGTGTTCTTCTTTATCACCTAAATTCATCTTCATAGATTGTTATAGTAGAATTTCTTGTAAACAGTGTAAATATGCTGGCATTTTTACTACAGAAGCATTTTAGATATATTTTTCTCTATTCACCCTTATTACTATTTATTATGATTTGCATCTCAGAATTTCTGTTAATGCCTTTCTCAGGTACTCCTGCTGTGGGGCAAAGGTGTTGTAAGAGGCACCAAGTGTGTGTTTGCCCAAGAGAGTCTGTGATGTGTGGTAATTTGCTCAAGGTAAGATAGGTTGGCTGCCCAAGACATGAGAATGTCAGTAAAACCTTTTCACAGCTTCACCGCTGGCTCTACTGTGGAGACTTCAGAGCACAACTGAATCATCAGTTGAGTGAACAAGTATGGGATGTGTGACATTCTGTTTTGCATACACAGAGATTGTGTCCTTTTTTGACTGGGGAGAGATGATGTGAGGAATTGCAAAAGATGATCTTCTAAAAATAGATCCCAGGAGTTCCTAGAACTGATCATTACATGCAACAGATAACAAGCACCATGTCCAGTTCATTACTCGTGATACTTTTTAGAGGGGCCAGCAGCTATGACATTCTCTTCTGTTGTCAACTACAAAAGCACTGAGTAAATACAGAATTCAATATGCATTATCTCAGCAGCTTTCATATCCTTTAAGAACAAGCCTGTAAATATTACTTAGTCCATTCCAAGTTCACAGCTAGACGCTGCAATTTTTTCTGTCCATAATTGCGTTCTTGCAATTCTGAGCTATGATTCTTCACTATGACTTATTTTTTTAAAGGAAAAAGAATCCACAACCTTCCAGTTATAAAGCTGCATAATAATACTGCATTGCAAAGAATTTACTTTTTCTTTTGTTCTACCTCTTGAGAACCTATGGCTAAGACTTTTGTTTGTCCATCATTTATGCTTCCTTGCAGAGTGCACAAGAACCAACACATACCATTGAAGAGAATACAACAGAGGAAGTATTTGACTAAACTGCAAGAAATATTCAGGAAAGAGTCCTGTAAACAACACAAATTGACATTACCAAATGACAAAATCTTTAAAGTACTATTCATGCAAATTTCAACGGTAGTAGAGCTTGTAGTGGTAATACCATTGCCTTTTTGCCCAACCTGGAAATTAAACTTGAGATAATTTTAGTAAGGAGGTAATATAAAAGGGGATCTTCAATTGAAGGCCTTCAGGAGCAGTTATGGAAAGATGTCCACAAAAGCCCACCTCACCCACCAGGGGTGCGTACATTTTTATAGGTTTTAGAAAATTAGCATAATTGATAAAAAGCACCAATCAGGAGGACAAGTGGTCAAACCCAGGTCAAGCCTGGTCTTCCTCCCAGGTCAAGCCCCTTTGGAACCTCTCCTTCAGCGCTAGCTATACTTTGTCCATGAGAATGTATCTTCAAGAGTTGTTCTCAATCTTGGTTTCCAGATAAAACTAAGACAGTACCTTGTACCTCCTGGGGTTTGGAGCTCTGGAATCCATTTTGTCTTTCTGTTTATGTAAAAGCCATGGAGAAGTACTGGGAAAACTAGCTACCAATACAATAGGTGACACAGTTACAAATACATGTGAGAAAAATACAGAGAACATATAAAAGGGAAAAAAAAGGCAAAACCCAAACAGCATCAACACAGGAAACTAATATTAAATTGTAATCAGTGATGTACACACCACTTTCCTCACATTGCAAAAGATGCTAGTAGCATCAAAAGACTTCAGAAGTTTATGAAGACAGCAAGTATATTGCTAAAATGCCTCTAAAGACCGTGAAAACTAAGTATGGTAGAGTAATTTTGGCAGAATCTAAAGATAAAAATATTCTTGAATTCTTGTTCAACCATCCTCATCTGATATGTATTCAAATTAGGGTAATACCTGTTATACAAAATAATTTATGTTGAAAAAAACTTTCAATTATTCTAGGTACACTGAAGAAATTATGTACTCTAAACTGTGAAAAGAGACTGAAGGGTTTTCCTTGGAGTCTCACAAATTGCAGAGAATCCTGAAGCTGTAACTTTTGCACCGTGAATGTGTATTTCCTTTGGCTATTTGTGAAACAAGAGCTTCATTCAGTTTCAATTCAGCTGTTCCAGGCCTTGGTGCATTTTACAGCTCAGTTTGTTCCCAGCTTAGCAGCTCAATTGGCAATGTGCACATTTAGTTTCCACTACCTGGGAAAGATCACTGAAGGATACACCAAGTATCAGCTTTTGTTTCCTGGTGCCTATTGACAGAGACTGATTAGCATTTCAGAATTTACTGTAAGGCAGGTTGCTGACTCTTCACTAGTCTATGCATTCAGCATGCCCACCCCACATACTACTCATGCTTTATTCTTGTCTATCTTTCTGGAGATAGGCATTTCATTCAGTATCTGAGATAAGCTGACAGGGAATGGCACTCTTTTGTACTGGCATCACCTTTGTATTGCAAGAGCTTTGGAAGCTGTAGAGCAGCAGGGATACAATCACTACTTGGGGTCTGTACAACAGCAGAAGTTATGCCAGGGTTAGCCTTCAAAAGTCTGATTCATGCAAAGTAAAGCTAATAACAATTGACATACATGAAGAAATAGCTGAAGTTTAATACTAGAAGTCTTGTTTTGATATCCAAACCTTTACATCTATGTCAAAGATGAAATGGCCATAACTGTAAAAGAACAAAATCAAAGGAAAAAGGACTTTAAAAATTGATAGCTTTTGTTTGCTTCTGTTTATTTTCAGTTTGCTTATAATTATCCTGCCAAAAGAATGTGTAATTATATTTCACAGTCTATGACTAGATCAATTTTAGAAGATAATTTTGAAGGATCAATCTTTTTTAGCTTCTCATTTCTCATTCCCCCTCTCAGGACCTGAACACTGATTCATATTTGCACTTACTGATTAATATATGTAAGCAGAAATGTTGTGTAAAGCATACATTTATTTAAAAGGTAATAGAAAATCTCACTTGAATTTCCAAATCTGATGTAAACAAAATCACACTGCAACAAACCACTCTGACATTAAGCATATTTAAGTCCATATCTTCCTACACAAAGGCTTGCAAACTGGAATTTACATCCTTTACATCCTACTGTAAAGGATTTCAAACACAATCACAATTGAACTAAAAATAAGAGTGAAGAAGTTGCATGGTTTAGTATTAATAAACCTGAAATAGAAAAACAGATTTTTTTCATAAAATGGTCCATCTAATAATTTGATGCACTGAAGTATGCCAATAGATTTCTAAAAAAATATATATCTCACTTTAAAACAGCATTGCAAAGCATAAATAAACTTGCTATGAAAGGAAAATCATCTTCTCTGCAGAAGCAAAAGCAAAAATAGACTACCACGTCAGTCACTGCTTGAACTGTCTGAACTGTTAGAAGATGAACTTTTTTCCTTTCGTCTCTTCTTTTTCTCCTTTTTATGATGCTTTCCTTTCTTAGATTTATGCTTTTTCCCCTTTTCCTTTTCTTTTTTGTGTGATTTTTGTTTTTTTGACTTTGGCTCATCCTCTTCTGCTGAACTTGATGAGGAAGATCTAGTAAAAAAATGCAGATCAATATGTAATTAAAGAAGGAAAATGACACAATAATAATTCAAGGTGTCAGTGTTTTTGTAATGTCACAAATTGAATTTGGTGTAGAATTTGTACAGTAACATCCACTGTTAAGCTTGTATCTTGACCTGCATGTGTAAGTTAAATGACTTTCCTAATGTGACTTTAATGCCAGAAAAGCAGTTATGTATTATATTTCTAATACAGATTAAAAAATAATGGAATAAGCAAGTTGTGTGGGTTTTCAGTCTTTGAGAAAAGACCCAGAGTACAGACCATCAAAACATAAAGTATGACAACAAAATAAAGCTTCTGGTTTTAAAATACCATATGAGCAGTAACAATGCTAATTAATGCCTTCAGATATATATCCCTGATGCAAAAATCTAAGAGAAACTGTTACGAAAATTTTTTATGTTCTTGCAGCTCATACTATTGTGAGGAAATAAAATGCAAGACTCTCAAAAGTCACATCTGCATTGTGACACATACTCTAAGAAGAGGTCAGGAACTGAATTAAGCTAAAGAATTCCTGGAACATGTAAACTCAAAGGAATGTTTGAGTATGTATAATCTTCATGAATATGCATTTGACCAGTGCAATGAAAAAGTATGTAAGAAAAGTTAACCACATGCATCTGGCTATGGCTATGCACCCAGCACTGTTACTTTTTCTTTATCCCTTATTAAACTTTTAAAAAGTTTCAAGAGTGAGCCTCGTTACTCACAAAACTGACAACCAGATTGACTCTTTTCTATTCTATTTCTTCATACGTGTAAGGGCTGTCTTCAAAAGTGGAAGTTTGAACTACACAGTGTAAATAAGGAGAAGGAAAAATGCAAATACAACAGGTTTTAAATCCTGTGTCTTTGTTTTGGAGGGACATCTTCTTGTGGTCTCCATATACATTTTGCTGTGTATACCTTCCAGTGCAGTTTCTGGCATATTCTCTTATCAATTGTCTTAATGATGAAACATTAGTCTCATCTACAGTGTCACTTAAAAAAACCCCGAAAAAACCGCCAAAAAGGTAAGTCAATCCACAGGCCAGAACTCAGATTCATAATACATTGGGGTATTACGACATCTTAGGCTTCTACGTTAACAGGTACACTAAAACTCAACACCTGTTCAGTATTACAGAAGTTTCCCTTTTGATAACTACGAGTTACTCAGAGCCTGAGGTGTGCTTATGCTTATATGTGTGTGCCCATATATGCATGTGTGCACACAAAGAACCCTACAGTCTCTGAATTTCAGAGAGCCTTCTCCACCCTGGCTTGTTCTTTTCCCATCACAGCTTGCTTAGAGTTGGACAGTAAGGGGCAGTTCTGCTTTTTCTGATCTGCAGATCTGCAGCTTGCTAGAGCTTTCAAAATTCCTATGATCCTAAGTCCACAGCAGAAAGCCTGTGACTCCAGCATTAATCTAAGAACATTTACCTCACCATTATTTTACCAATACTTTATCATTACTCAGTTCTCACTGGAAAAAAGAAAACTTTTCAAATTCAAACTTGCAAAAAAAGTTGCATCAATAGAAGCAATATTTCTGACAAAACACAAGTCTCAAAAATATTTCTAAATCTGTGTTTTGAAAAGAAAAGAGGTGTGTGAAGGTTACCTTTTCCTTGGTCTTTTTAATTTTGTTTTCTCTTTGCTTTTTCTTTTTTGTTTCTTTTTTTCTTCCTCTTCATTTAAATCTATAAGTAGAAAGTTAAAGTTTACAAAACACTTGTCTGAATTAAGATCAGCATTAAAAAAGCAGGTTCACTAGCAATGTCAATTCTTGCTAAAAAGCTTTCTTTTCCTTCCCTCAAATTCTGGTTAGTATAGTAATTTCAGAAATATTGCAGTAACAGCAAGACTTTCATATATAACTTATATTATATTGATCTAAGCACTAAGAATGAAGGAAGGCCTGTAAATGTAGCAAAAAGACCTTTTCCTATAAATTTACACCAGATTCAGGTTTTCATATCTGTTCTTTATCACAGAAAGGGTGATAAAGTTCTGGAATGGTCTGCCTGGGAAGGTGGTGGAGTCACCATCCCTGGATGTGCTTAAGGAAAGACTGAATGTGGCACTCAGTGCCATGGCTTAGTTGAGGTGTTAGGGATGGGTTGGACTCAATGATCTTGAAGGTCTCTTCCAACCCAGTGATTCTGTGATTCTTCTGTATGTTAACAGTTTTAACATTTAACATACATGTCCAAGTCTGAAAACTAGAACAAATAAAGAAAATAATATTCTCTTAGGCTTCCCTGAGTTACTCCCACACATCCCTATTTCATGCTTCACAAACAGCAATGTCATAAGTGAGACACAGCTCTTTTTCCTGCAGATATCCATCTTCAATAAGCTTAGGAAAAAACCCAACCTTTACATTCAAAAATACATAATAAGTGGTAAGTATTTTTTCCGAAGAGACTTATTCCAAATAAGTACCATTGCAGTACCAATTCAGCACTCTTGATAAACAGCCCATTCACTTCTTTTGAAGTGTACAACTATAGGGTTTTATCTATCCCTTTTCCTTTCTAAATAGCATCTTCCACAGGAACTAAATGTCAGCACATATGAAAGCAAAAGAACAAAACATAATGGAAAACAAAAGGGTGGAGGAGAAGAATGCTCATTAATTTACAACACACTGAGGTGAAACAAACTCCCCTTCTTACTTAGGTGCACAACATCTTTAGAGTCCAAATTCAAATGAACTCAAGTATCTGATAAACAATTAATCTATTCTCACTTTGACAAGGAGTTGATACTCAGACCTTCCAAATATAGGACAGTACTTCTCAAAATACAAATGACTGAATTCCAGTCTACTAGCTGCTTCAGTCAAAATCCTACTTAGGAACCGGAGAGAAATTCAAGTGTCATATTTCTCAGTAGTTAGAAGATGTTTATACTATATGTCATAATCAGAAGATTAACTCAGCACACACATGCCATTTTATTCTAAGCAGCTTCTTAGTAAAAGAGCAATCAATCTCTTGTATTTAAGAGCTCCTTTTGAGATATTCCAAACATTCCTATACAAGAAATTAATTATAATACTAAAAGAGTGTGGATGTATCAAACCTCTGAAGTCTAAATACAAAGTAAAAGACCTATTTTTAAATCACAGGCTAAAAGAACTAAAAGGAGTTATCAGAAAGGATACAATGAGAGTCTCTGCACGTCAGAAGACTATTATCCAAAACCCACAAAAAACACCTTACTCTTTTTTTCACGCATGGCTTGTAATCTCTGTAGTTCCTCTTCCTCACTGTCTTCACTGCTAGTGCTGCTAACATCCAAAACAATATCTCTTTGAGGATCTACTCGGAGGAAGTTTCGACATTCAAATGTCAGATGACCAGCTGAACAAAATAAATATACAAAAAGAAAAATTACAATTTACCAAAAGAACATCAAAAAACAAAAGAAAATTGATTTTTGTATTATTCAGTTTTGAGAAGTGAAAGGAAAAAAGGTAGGCTTTGATCTGTGGAAGGGGCAGGAGAAAGCTTACTTTGAAAAACTCTCCAAGAATTTCATAGAATAGCATTGCACAAACTATTTAAGAGTGCTTTATGGCCTCACTCCTATTCTGCCAATTTGAAGATTTTTTCCAACTTTAGTTTCTATTTTTTAATGGTCTTAGGTACTTTCTTAAGAAATTACCTAAAAGCATAGCATGAAATACTTAAAAAACTACAGTAAGTGTTGCATTACTTAACTCCCTATAGTGAAATGTTAGAATCCTATTTACTTGTGAGACAATCTTTAACAGCCAGCACTTAATACTGACTGAACTACTGCCTGACCAGTATTTTTTGGTTTTTAAGTTACATTTTGATAATCATGACCAGCTAGAAACCTTGTGCTGAATACACTCATTGAAATTTTTGAAAAGTAATGTTCAAATAAAAGGAAGATATTATTTGGGAGACACAGTAATTCAAGTAGTAATTGAAACAAGCTCATATTCTTAGAAAGGATGATAACAAACTACCTACACCTTGAAGACGGATATTTTTAGGAACATATAAACATGATATGACTACAAGTTTCCTTCTCTTTCAGAAAGTTCCTGATACTTGCTGCATGTAGAAAGAAAGCACTAAATCTATATTTATATACACTGTTCTTTGAAGGAACAAATACACAAAGCAAGGAATTGACAAAATTTGTTGCAAAAGCCTGAAATGAAAGAATGAAGAAATTTTTTTCCTGTCACCCAATGTAACACTCATATAAAAAACCCAAACAGCTTAACTCACTGAGCTAAAAGTTCAAGACAATTCAGTACAAAACAGTGTCCATTCCTCCAATGTTCTAAAAATAAAAGTCAGTGATTAAAAATTTAAAATCTTCACTAAGACCTGTCTCCATTACTCAGGAAAGTAGCCACAGACATTTACAAACAGTGTATAATCCAAAGCATGAGCTAAATGGCAATTGCAGAACTTGTAAGCAATAAAGGTAGCTGTTTCTTGAAATATACAATGCACAAAATAATATTTTCTTAGCGTAAAAGATTATACAGATTTTAAACTATTTTTTTTTTCTGGTGAATTAGACTGGACTTAACTTCAACTGAAATGCCTGCCTCTTTGCAGTCAGATTCAGAAGAAGCACAAGTGCTTATATCAGTATATATCAAAGAAGGTGCTTTCAATTAAGTTTGAAAAAAGTTTCTCAAGTAATTGCATTGAAATGTAGTATGTACAAATATAATAGCATAATTTTTTTTGTTGAGAAACTCAAACTGGTACTCAAATTGGTAAGTGTCATAAATCAGAAAACGAACATGAAATAAACAGAAGAAAGATAACATAGTAATTTAAACTGACAAATGTCTGGGCAACAAAGGAGAATACTTCTTTCCTTTTTTCCCCTCTCTCCACAAAAGGCAGTTCCAACCAACACCATAAACAGAAGAAAACACTGTAACTTCATATTGCTTATTATAGACTTACGGTAGCCACACTTCTTGCATCCAGCTCTGATATTATCCTTATTTCCACCTGAAAGAGAAAATTTCACCAATTAGGTATTGCTGAAGAGAACCTTGAAGTTTCTTTCAAATGTTTCTTGATAACATCAATACATAGACAGAAGTGATTACCCCTCAAGAGTATTAAGTACACCAAGATTTCTTTAAAAAAACTGCATTTCTAAGGCTACTTTTCTGTGCAATAATCTGTCAGAACACTTCTGACTTATTTAAACTGCTAGATATCACTTAGTCTTATATAATTTACTGCCAAATCCTAATTTGATTTATTGTGACCTTTCCACTTATTTAGTTACAGTATGAACACAGTAAGAGATACCTAACATTCCAGGGATCTGTAGCACACAATATAAATTCTAGCACTGCAAGGATGTTGACAGATATTCACTGGAAACTCTGAAGTGATTTGTATTTTAATTACGAGAACAGACCTTACAAAGCAATTAAAAAGACCAAACCAAATCAAAAAATAAATCCTTGAAAACAATGAAGGAAATTAAAAAGTCAACAAATTGTTAAATTATTCTGAATCCAGACAACATGACACGAAACACAAAAAATGCAAGAAAGCAGAGTCAGTAACAGAAAAATTTGGATTCTAAGCAGGAAGAAGATCTGAATAATGCAAATTTTAGGTATTGAAAGTGTGTGATTCTCCCATGTGAGACAACAGTTAAGTTAAACAGACACAGTAGGACCCAATTCAGGAGAAGCACCAGGGATTTGCCCCACCCCCCAACAGATCAATCTTAATTTTAATCATTTAAGCCATTGATATGAAAGTGACAACTGAATTACCAAAATCAAAGGATACCATTCTGTCTTCCAACTGAATACAGCAGAAAACCCCCAGCAACTTAAGCAGTCATATACTATCAGAAACTGAGTACATTAGTCACATTAATTTAAACTATGACTTACTGAAACAAGCACTGTTTTTAGAAAATTCTACTCAAAATAACAGAAACCTTCAAACCCCAAGTTGAAAAGTATGCCTTGGAAACCTGGGACAACTCAGGTGTATGCCTTAAAGAGTGTTGGAAAGCCAAGCAACAAAGATCCGTAATTCCACTATAACAGATCCCAAACCCTTGGTATTACATATATCCTTCAAGGTCAGCAGTGTTCAGGTACCTGTTTTGTGCCTACCTTTAGAAGGACACTCATGAGAGATACAAGGAGATAGGGAACACAGAAGAAAGAGTCACAAAATAAAAGGCAAAAGCATACCTGTAACCTGCAATGTCACATCAGAAAAGCACTCAAACCTGCATTTGCTTGTTCACTACTCCTTGGGACTAGAAAACAAAATCACTCAAGCCACCTACTTTGTCTCAGTTTTCTGAAATCTTTCTGAGTCAACCTCAGCCCCACTGCCTAGCTGACCTACATAAATAAGGATTTGGTATTCCAGCCAAGGGAGGTCAGTAAAGTCATGTGCACACTACAGAAATCTCCCGTGTGAGGTAGGCTTTCTTTTCAAAAGAGACACCCAGCAGATGACAAGAATGCAAATATTGTCGTCAAATATTCCTACCAAATTCCTAGGACTGAAATTTTGTTACTGTTTTAGGCTTTAAATAATAATGTTAGAAGTAGGAGTTTAGACTAGATGAAATTTTAGCTGACTAAAAGCAAACTAATTGCAAGAAGCTTCCTTTCTTACTCCTTCCCATATCTTAACTCTCAAGACATTTAACAAATGGCACAGATCTAAGGACTTCATTCATTCACTGGAGCATAAGACTGAAAAGAAAACCTGTGCAAACCTTTGAACGCAAACATGTCTTCCTCAAAACCCCCTTCTAGAATGGGAACAAGCTTATGGCCTTCGTTTAATCAGAGAAGTAGATCAGCAAGGCTCAGGCCTGTTCGGCTGTTCTCGAACCAAACACTGCCCTTTTTTCAGGGCAAGAACACACTACGGAGCAATGCCCAACACAGACCCGAACACCTTGCACATCGCGCAGGTGTTTCTGCCTGCCCTGACTCACAAGAACAATCTACTGGGACACAAGCACTAACGTAGAACGACAGCGGAGGCGAAAAGCCAAGTCTGACAGCCACCGTCCTCCAGTTCTAACCTGAGAGAAGGAGGCGATGGGAGCGCGGCGCTGGGTCCCCCAGAGGCTCGGGGAGGGGCCCCGCAGCCCCAAGGGGCCGCACCGCAGCGCCCCTGGCTGCCCCTGCCCAGCGCGGGCACGGCCCCATCTCATCTCCACCTCCACCTCATTTCATCCATCTCATCTCCATCTCCATCTCCATCTCATCTCCATCTCCCTGCCGCTGCCCCGGCAGCGCGGGCCGGAGCAGCGCCCGCCGCCTCCCGCACGCTTCCCAGCGCCGCGCACAGCAGCGCGCCCTCCCCGCGCGGCTGTCCCGGCCCCGCCGCTCGTTCCCGTGCCAGGCTGCGGTGCCGGTGCCGGGGCCGGGGCCGGGGCCGGGGCCGGGGCCGCCCCGCCCGCCGCGCTCCCGGCCGGCCGCCCCTCACCCGGCAGAGCCATCGCGCCCTTCTCCCCGCACTGCACCGGCCTGCACGCGCAGCGACGCCTGTCCCCACCGGAAGGCTTTGCCGGGCGCACTCCCGGACCGTACCACTCCCAGGGAAGGCAGGGGACCTCAGCGGCCCTGGGGCGGGAGCAACGCTGGGAGACCACAGATGTGTGGAGAAGCCTGCGTACATTTCCCCAGACACGGTGTTTCTCAGTGAATCTCGGAAAGCCTCTGGCCGAGGACTCGTTCCTTCGCTCTTTCTTCCGGCTTGTGCCATTTCCTCCTCCCTCCCTTGGGCTGCATGGGGGCGCCCAGGATGGCGGGCGGCTCGGGGCGGTAGGAAGTGCTGCTGGCGGCGAAGGGGGTCCGGCCGCTGGGGAGGGCTCGCCGGCCGGGCCGCTGCTTTCCCCGCCATGAGCAACATCTACATCCAGGAACCGCCCACCAACGGGAAGGTGAGGCTGCCAGGGTGAAATCCTGGAGAAGTTGTATGTTGTAGGGTTATGGGGGGACAGGCGACAGGAACACGAGCTTGGGTGGTGGTGGTGTTGATCGGTTTGGTTAAAATTACTTCTTTGAGGCTGCCAAAGTCAAAGCACGTGGCGTGATGTTTGGAGACATAACACAGAGCAGTCCTCGGAGCTTTTAATTTAATTTCCTCTGCTTCCGATTATATCTTACCTTCTTAATTTTGTTATGATCTCTCACTGGATGTAATGTTCCTTGTAAGGGCGATATCTTTGGATATTTATGGCTCTTTTTTTCCCCCCATGTTGTTTCATTATAGAAATGATAAAGGGTATCTTAAGTTTCTATGAAGCATCAGTCATCTTATGTTATGTGTTATGTTATGTTATTACAATTATATTATACATCTTTATTATACATATTGATTCAGAGCTGTATCTCAAGTTCTGGAAATGCTAGTTAGAACTAACAGCAGCTACCTGACACACTTAAATATATACCACTCTTCCAGATTTCATTTTTAGGCAGCTTTACCTTTTATCAGTGACCAAGTTACAGTAAAACTGAGGTTGCATTTATCTGTATGTTTATAGGTTTTGCTGAGAACTACAGCAGGAGAGATAGATATAGAATTATGGTCAAAAGAAGCACCAAAAGCATGCAGAAATTTCATCCAGCTATGTATGGAAGGTAATGATTGAATGGGGTGGGGAGCTGTTGAAATTAATTACTATGTGATCTTTGTGCCCTTTCTGTAAAATAGAGGTCATAATTATATTTTGACTTTAGTATGCCAATAAGTTTATTTGTGTTCAGAAATTATTAGTTAACACTCTGGCAATGTTTTTCAAGGTTACCAATGAAGCTAATGGAGAAATAAAATAAAAATTTTGGATGATTTTCTCAAATTAAGCTGATGACCTAGAATTGAAACATTGTCTTTCTGAGTCTTGAGAGGCTTTCTTTCAGCAAATGTCTACAAATTATAACAGCATCAGTGTGTGCATGAAATGACAGTGATACAATATTGGACATTCTCCAAAATTGTCATTTCTGCATCACAATTTACACTACCATTTCTTTTTTTTTTCCCTGAGTGCTCCTTGTGTTTCAGTTACTGTATTTTTTATTGATAAAAGCTCTGTAAAACTTTCCAGTGAACTAGTGGGTTCTTGAATGAGAAGCTCCCTTTTGAGAAAACTGTAACAAAAATCTGTGAAAGGCTTGATGCCTTTATATGTTTTCTAACTGGTATTATTCTCCCATTTAAGCATTTTGTAAAATTGTGAAGAGCTCTTTTAGCCTTCATATGTTAAATAAAAATAGCAGTCTAGGCTTTGTGCCTCCAGCATAGATCCAGTCTGTTTTGTCCAATCTCTTTTCCTGAATGTTGAGACTTTTTGCAATGGTAAAGGAATTTCTTAGCCCATGATAAAGGTTCATGTATACTCAGTGGGTTTAATTTAAGTCTGATTTTTTTAAATTACTGTATAGCATCTTGTGGTTTGTAATACATTTAAGTATTTCTCATTAATATCCCAGCATATAACCATCCCATGACTGTGTCTAGTTATGCTGCACCATTTGCACACCCTGCCTTTTCTTGCAACATGCTACAGATTTATTTATTATTATTATATCAACCAGGGGCTTGGTTCAGGTAAAGTTTGTTTTCAAGCCTTTTGTTGATATTGTAGCCTCTATCAGATAGACAGATAGATAAAAGAAGATAGCTTAGAGAGCAAAATGTACCACATATTTCATTCTGCAAAAATTATCAGTTTCAGTACAATACAGGTGATGAAAGATGTTCTGTGCTGGTGAGTGAAAGTGCAAATCATCTGTATTTGGGTATTGCTAATGGCTAATGTTGTATGTGAGATCTCATCCAGGATACAGCACAGTATTTCTTTTTCTCCTTTAAAATTGGTGCATTTTGATAGTGTAATTCCACTAATAAAATCTTAAAAGCTGAAAAGAATGTAATTCATCAAGGTCATCTTGTCAGTGATGGGCGGGATTTTTTGCAAAAGAAACGTGACACCACAGGATGTGGTTTCCTAAGTCTGTGGAGAACAGAAGGGAACCAAATAGAAGCCAACAGTGGAATCTAGTTGCAGTATTTGCTTTCTGGAACATCAGTCTCTGGATATCACTGCATGATCTGTATGAAAGTTTGGGTTTGAGACCACTTACATGTATTTAAAATATATTTACATATATATATATTTATTTTTTTTTTAGAATATTACAATAACACAATATTTCACAGAGTAGTGCCTGGCTTTATTGTGCAAGGGGGTGACCCCACTGGTACTGGATCAGGAGGAGAGTCAATCTATGGAGCTCCTTTTAAGGTGTGTATCTGTTACTTACACATTAATTTTTTGGTATTCTCTATCCGTTGTTATTCCTACCAAGTTCTGAAAAATCAAATCTTAGATGAAACACATACCTGAGCAGTAGTTGCCTTCATGTGCTACTTCAGTGTGTTTGAATATCCCCTTCTAAATTGAGAGTTCTTGGATCTAGCTATGCTGGTATAATGATAAACCTGGGGGCTCAGATCCTGAGCGAAGCTACACACAGGCTGAGCAGCTGTGTTCTGTTCTGCCTGACTGTTTTATTTCAGGTGGGGCAGGCACCTTTAATTTGTGACTGAAGCTGCAAAGCCTGTTTCTGGGCCTTCATCTTCTTGCTGACTTTTGCATTTAGCACAAGCCTGAAGTATGTGGGAGGGAATGGTACCTGAGCAGAGAACAAAACAAAAATTACCAATATTGTAGTAGCATTGCTGCTTCAAAGTAGTGATATCTCAGTATTGCAGTGTTTAGCATTGTGATATTGCAGTGGTATTCAACATGTTCTCCTTGCTTTGGAAGGAGTCTTATTTTGTCTTCCTAATTCTTGACAATGTTCTTCCTATGGATTTTTGCATTACTCTACTATTACAATCTGTTATTGTGCTTTTAGTAACTTTACATGAATTAGGATTTAAATTCAGTTTTCACATAAATACAGTGATTGTCAAGAATAGTATTTTTGCAAGAAGTGTATGAAATACTGTTACTTTTTAAAATGTTTTTTATTTTCTTAATATTGGAGGATAACAAATGCAAATAAAAATAATGAACAACAATTGATTTTTAGGCAATGACTGGAAAAAGATAAAATTAACAAGACAGAAGTTACAATTTTTTTGATTAGTAATGTGTCTTTCTGTTATTGATACTTTAGTTTCTAATTTTTTGGTTGGTGTTTGTTCATTGTGTGTTTATGGTTTCTTTTGAAGATTGTTCAGTTGTTTCCATCATGAGAGGCACTAGGGATTAGAAATACTGACTAAAAGTAATTTTTACTGCTCATAGTAGGAACTTCTAAGTATAATTCTAGCATTGAGTTTCAAAATACTTGGTATTTATTACTGTCTGAATTTGAAAGAAAATTAGCAGCATTTTTTGTGTGTGCATGTTGATATAAGTAATGTCACTCCTATCTCCTATCATGCTGCAGCTAAAGGAGTGAAAAGATAGTTTAACACCGAAGTCATTCTCTTTTCTATCCTGCTTTTACCAGGATGAGTTCCACTCACGATTGCGATTTAATCGAAGAGGACTTGTTGCTATGGCAAATGCTGGGCCCCATGATAACGGGAGTCAGTTTTTCTTTACATTGGGTCGTGCAGATGAACTTAACAACAAGCACACAATCTTTGGAAAGGTCTGTTACATTAATTGGAATCCCAGTTTAAGTCTGACAGAAGCTGCTACAAGTTTCTCTGAAGGCTGGTTTAGTATTGTTTGCTGCTATGTGCATTTGAAATTTATTTCAGTGCTTTCTATGTTCTCTCCATTCTCTTTGTTTCTTATATTTGGAAGAAATGTTTCTGTGGGTTGTTCCTGTTATTACCTATCTTGCTGTTGTTATTCTTCTAAATTGTATTTTCATGTTGTGCTGCCTTTAAATAATCTTATTTGTATTATTATGGCTCTGTAATTAATCAGTTCCTCTAATGCTAATGACATGTTCGAAAATTCTATTTAGAATTAATTAGATTCTAATTACCCAAGAAGGGTCAGGAAGATGAAATACATGAGATGAATTTACCACTCTCATTATTTACTTAAAAGAAAACAAAGCAAACATTTTTTTATTTCAGTGGTTTTTGTTTTCCTGTTTCGCAGCTCACAGTAAGACTTCAACATCTTCATCTGCATACATTCTCAAAACTACCCGTATTCCTTCAACTTTTGCCATTAAATTTTAAAACACAAACTTTTGGGTTTTGGTTTTAATGTAGTACTGCATTGTGTACATTTACAAGTACATTAAATTGTACTGGCTGTCTTTTAGAAGTCTTACATGCTCACAGTATTTTCTATAGCACCTGTATTTTCAAAATTTTTTACATAATAATTGTCTTGTATCTTGCAGAATAAATAACCCAAATTACAGTCTTGAACTTTCAAGCGTTTCTTTGTAAATTTGCCAGGTTACAGGGGATACGATATATAATATGTTGCGTCTGGCTGAAGTAGAGGTTGACAAGGAAGAGAGACCTCTCAGTCCACACAAAATAAGGAGTAGTGAGGTGAGTATGTTCTGTTTGAAATGTGACATTTAAAATTTTTTTTGTGCAGAGTCTTCAGAAAATTTGGCTTGTCCTTTTGCATATTGTTTTAAAATATCGAACCACTTAATTACAAAATATTTGCTAAAGACGTGTTTAAAATACTGTTTTTTTAAACAGGTTTTGTTTAATCCTTTTGATGACATCGTCCCACGACCAAACAGAAAACTGAAGAAAGACAAACCAGAAGAAGAAACTAAAAAGTCCAAAGTAAAAGGCACAAAGTAAATATATGCAAGAGAAATCGTGGTTCATTTTCTTTTACCTTTAATTTGTACCTTGGCAAGTTTTTGCTTCCATTTCTGTGTTTGAAGCCCTTCCTTGTT